ATCAGCGCTTGAAAGGCGACATGATTTGTGTGCTCACAGAAAATCAGTGAAGGCCTTACTGAACTTTTTGCGTGGCAGTGGCCTATTGTATAGACTATAGCACCCCAGCACCCCTTTTTTTTTTTTGCACGCGTCTATTTTCCTCTCCGCTTTCTTTCCCATCTTTCTTCCCCCTTCCCCTAGTGCAGGGTAGCAAACCGGATGCTCCATTTTCTGGTTAACCTCCCTGCCTTTCCCTCATCTTATTCTCTCTCTCTCATCCTCCGCTACCCAAAGACACTGAGCCTAGCGTCCTCATGGGTTCGCATGAATAAGCGTATTTCATGTTCACAAACCCATATAATACTGCGTGTTGCAGAAATAAGTATTTCCTGGCCTAAACCACTATCGCTTGTGCACTGAACTAGGTGATCCGCGGTGATCTGAGAAGCGTGGTGCTGAGGTCTGATTCCAGTATGGTTGAAGAAGACCCTATTCGTACTCGAGAACTACACCTCACAGCGGGTAGCAACTGATACTGAGAATTCGATTAAGATGCTCTTTTCCAGGAGGTGGCTCCTTTTTTGCACTAGCTTTTGTGATTCACAGTTTTTTTCTTTTCCTCAATGACGTTGCTCCGTCCGAGCTTATGGTTTGCTGACTCGAGTGGCTCTCCTAACATATGCCCCCACTAGCTCTCTATCTGTTTTTCACTTAGCCTACAGATTGTCCACATGATCTATTCTGCCTAAAAGCTCAAGAAGAAAGACGTAGGTGACAGCTTATATATACACTATCACATTTAGCTTGCAGTGTGCTTGTTTTGCAAGCGGGCTAGTTTTGATGCGTGGTAACGAACGACCGTCACCTGCGCAGTCGACCGATGCTGCAGCCGGTCCATTTAGAAGGTAAGCTGCAATGGGAGCACCACAAGTGATTCGATGAGCTATACAAAGACGTTATATACCACGCCATGTTACTCGGAGACATCATCGGGTTGTGCTACGCATGCAACAGGAATAGATTTCATGGCCTGGTTCACGAAATGTTCATTCCCTCAGTATACTCTTCATCTTTTAACAGCAGAACTGTTCATGCCGTTAGTTACTCCGCGCAGAGGGAACCGAAATGGTCGTCGTCATAACCGGCATGCAAGCACTCTCTTCGACCTCCTCTTCGTCATCGTTTCCTTCATTCTTCTGCTTCGCTGTCAGAAGGCGTGAAGACGTGCGCCGATTGCGACGACGCGCTGTCCGACAACTATGATGGGCGAGATGGCAAGTACAGAAGGAGAGAAAAAAAGAGGAATCCTTGGGGGGGGGGGGGGGCAGGGGGGATTTTTTCTCGGCAAGGTGTCAGTCAAACCCGCATACACACGATGACAAGGCGAGCGTCATAATCACTCGGCTTTCAGGCAAACTACTGTATACTATAGCGAGGAAAACGGAAAGGCAAAGTGAGTGCGATGATGACGGGAAAGATGAGAGGATAAGGAGTACAAAGAGTGCGGGAGCAAGAAAGAGATAGAAATAGAAAAACAGAAATAGATAAATATATATCAAATGAATTGAAAACACGATAGAAAGCTAGAGAACAACTATAGAGCGGGAGAGACACAGAGGGACGAAGAGCGAACGAAGCAGAAAGCGAGAAACAGACAAAGAGAGGGAAGGAACAGAAAAAAAAAAGCAGATACAAAAACTATTATAAAGAGCACGCATAAGGATGTAAAGTATAAGGTAGCTAGTGTCAGTCGAGAAGGTAAAAGCCTAGCCAAGCCAAGACCAGATAGGTGCCCAACAGTTCCGGTGTGACGTGGTCATGCGATGCTTGACTAAAGGGGCAAGCTGCAATATATAAGCCATTGGCCAGCCGCCTACTAAAGCTGTATGTCCATGGACGACCAGGAACGGTATTCGCTAACGAACATCTTTCGTGTAAGTGTTTTCGTGCGCATGGATCCACGGTGTAGGTGCTATATATATATATATATATATATATATATATATATATATATATATATATATATATATATATATATATATATATATATATATATATATATATATATATATATATATATATTTTTTTTTTCATTCTATTCGTGTGGAGCATGTTTCCCCATACGGCCGTTCCGCTTGTTGACACACAGTTCTGGTTCATGCGTCGTGAACAGACCTACAATACAGTATTTATCAACTGATGTTTGGGCGAATCGAACACAACAAAGCGAGTGTTACATGCGCACAACGGAACGTATCATGGCGTGTTTCATACGCTTGCGCGACGACAAAGTATTTTCCATATTTTTACTGCGGATGACTTGTTATTCGAGAAGGCTTTAAACTCGAAAGTCAGTGTCATGTTCTCTCGCAATTTCCGTTCGCGCACCTGGTACTTAACACAGCATTGAAACCCGCTGCCGTCAAACAATCCAACGTTTACTCATCACCGTTACGCTATTCACCAGACGTTTCGCAGGTTAAATACCGTGTTTGTCAAAATGAACACAGCATACATGTTGTTGTTTTCACTGGACCAGATTTTATATTGTGTGCAGAAAATCCAACAGCACAGCATGTTTACGTGCAAAAGAAGCGAACTTAACTTCATCTATGAGGCACGGTAACTTCGAAACACAGCCCAACGTCTTGCTTGGCTCTAATTATGCAGTCGATTTGACGACCATCGCTAAATTTTATAAACTGAAAAATCACCTACTGAACAAATGATATGTTCATTGCAATGTGCATGTGTGTTGGTTACTATTGGCAAACACCCCGCAACGCTTGAGCGAGCGAATGATGCCCCAATTTTATTCCGAAACGCAATTAGAACAAGTTCACGTTCGTGCATGAGAAACATGCGTGACTATCCGGCATTTCTCGCAACAAGATATTACAACAATGAGAACGGAACAAAAGCAACTCTTGCGTCAACATTGGCACCGCTGTTCTGATCGAATGATTTCGTAGTTGCGCTGACACCTTAAGGAAAGGTCTGTTTTGAGTTGCAAACAATCGTCCTTTACACTTTTTTTTTATCGTCGCCACATAAAAATCTCACTCTACGGCTAAGATAACAACGCATGCAGTCAATCTGGAGTTAAGTAAAAAAAGAAAAAAAGAAAGAAAAGGCGGGTAGGGGGGGGGGTAAGGGTTACACTATTGTGCGAAGCTTACGAAACAACGAAGCCGGTTGATCTGAGGCGCTAAACGCAGCCCTCTTCGCTGATGCTATGTCTTGCCATGGCTAGACAACGTGAAGTCAAACCACAGCTCGTCACAGACCATGCAAGAATGTCCTAAGTCCAGCGCCAAAACTAATGTGCGAAGTTGCCCGTGGCACACCCGGCAGAAGCGCGGGCCTTTTGTCACTCGTACTTGGCTCGCGCCATGCCGCGAAACTCGGCGTCGCTGGACGCGGCTGATAAGTAATAGCACGGAAAGTTTTTTGTGGACACCTGATGTTTTAAATTGAGCTTTATGAGTCAGTAAGTCAACGAACTTTATTCACAAATTGCCCTGAGGAGCCGATGCCACTCAAGAGGGCGGGTCGGCTGCACCCACGTTGGGACAGGAAGGGCATGCCCCTTCCCCCAACTGCAGGCCCTCTGGAGCTTCGCTCCTTTAAAAAAGAAATTCTGCTTTGAATAACACTATAGTCTTCTGTCACCATCTGCCGCAGACACTACCACTGGCCGAGCATTCGCTTGTCAAAGGAGTCGCGGCTTTGGATCGGCTTGGTCGCCGTGCAAGTGTTCGTCGTGCTCTACATTGTGCGGGGACTCAGGGCCGCCGTCAGAGGTATGCATATCACATCGCGCATGCGGCGTTTGCCTCTTTCTCTCGTTCCTATGCGCCGTTTAACCACGGCCACTCGATCTGAGATCGAGCGGCCGTGGCAGGACTGACACGGTGGCTCTCCTATGAAGGCTTTCCTCTGCACAGCGACGAGTCACGGCTTCGATTGCCAGCCGTGGCAATGTCACGGCTGGTTTCATGGCAATGTGCGCGCAGTCAAATCGCTCTTGTGCCATGTTTTGAAGAATGGTAAACGATCACGTCATTGAGTAGATTTTGCATCTATACTGCTCTTAACTTTTGATATATGTGCACTCATTGTCTTAAGCAAAATAGTATGCTTTAAGTGCTATCTTACTTCTATTTTACAATAACAACATGCTTCCCAACGTCTCTTGAGTCAAGAAAGTTCAATACTAAAATATGGTTACTTGGTTGTATTGACAATTGTCACGCCAAATTTGTTAATCGCTATTTCTTTGAAGTTTTTTCAGCTTAAATGGCATTAAATCAAATTATCCATGTTTATTGTTCGGAGAACGTTGGCACAGAAGGTTGCACGTATAGCGTGCGAAAAGCAACGGCCTTGAAGACATCGGAACTTGACAGCGCTTCGTTTTTCTCGGTCTGTTTGTCCCGTTCCTTCCGCTGTGGCCAACAACAAACTAGGGTTTTTTTTTTCTGGCATTTTGATATTGAAGGGACTTAACCAGCACGGGGTGTGGAAGGCTGGGGAGCGGGTACCATATAATGTGGGAGGACGTCAGGCTGGTCTGGAACAATTTTCATGCGGAAGGGGTAGAGGAGTTGTTGGGGAAGGGGGGTACAGTATTCGTGGTAACTGATCTTTTTGTCTATATCTCTACTGTGCTGTTTCACGTGATAACGAAATGTTCCATTCAAGAAATGAAGTCTGGTGCATTAGTTTTATGGTAAAAAAATTGAAGATAAAACGTCACCACGTTGCGTATTCCACTTCAAAGAAAGGCAATAAGAAATAACACCTATAGATCGCTTACGTACTCTTTTATTTCTCTCAATACGATTGCTTCACCTTGAGATGGAAGGTCGCAAAGAATAGCGATCGAATCCTATCCAATCATCTTCGCACTCATGCAGCTCAGAATTCCATGGGCTCGCTGACCCAAGCGCCGCTCGGACGTTACACGGCCGACTGGAATTCCCTCGATACGCGCCCGCTGCCCGCCTGGTACGACGATGCCAAGGTGGGAATTCAGTGTCAAAATAGGGTTACTAGTGTGACTGTAGCGTTCCACATAAAATTACATGCTCACCTCTGCAGTTTTCAAAGAGCTCTGAATTGGGAGAGCAAAAAAAAATAATAATAAGTAAACAGATAAGTCCCGTGTCTCCACGCTGCCTTTAACACAATGCAGGCATCCCCTAAACCCAGTTGTCAATTACGTTTGATGTTACTTAAGTAAATCTCAGCTGAGAAGCAATTGTAAATTCAACGCAATGCACCTATCCCCTAATGAAACATTTATAATTTCATTTACGTTTGATGTTACTTAAGAAAATCTCAGACGAGAAGAGATTGTAAATTGTTCAAGTGAAAGACACGCACTATTCGATCTTTCTTAAGCATTATTCATCTTTTTAGTAGATATTAAAGTACGCTACGCTGAGGCATAGTACACGTCTACCCGTGCGTTCACGTACACTACACACTGAAGCGCACCATACCTGCGCCCGCAAGCAAGAAAATACACCTCGACGGACACCTATGACAAGGCTAGTGCCACAAATGCAGGGCGTTATCATGATAGCAGCCTACTTAAGTAGTCCTGTACATACTTTACTTGCCCTTAACGCAATGGTAGTGTAATTGGTAGCTTTGAATATACTGAACGATCTCTTTGTTTTCTATCTGTCCCTCAGTATTACGATTCACTGCGATGTTACCAAAGGTAATTAAGCACACCTTGTTGCTGTGTACATCATTCATTTCTTTCATCTGCTTCAAAAATATCTGCCCTTTTATCGGCCCTTAAAGTCTGCCCTTAAGCGTAACAATGCTTGATTCAAAAATTCACATGCAAATTCGCTCTTTTTGGTATGCACCTGTACCTATTTTTATGTTTGGTTCAGAAGTACTTTCGTATTTGAACAACCGCTGTCGCTTGGCTAAGCGTCCGAACATTTAGAGGTGTACGCACAGTACATTATGCTTGTCACTGAAAAGGAATTCAATTGAATGAAATGTGTTTATAAATAATTGTTGACGTTTAACATCCATAAACCACGATACGATTGCAAGACACACCGTAGTAGAGGACTCCGTAAATTTCGACCAACCGCGGCTCTTTGAAGTGCACATAAATCCAAAAGTACACGGGCTTCGAGCATTTACGCCTCCTTTGAAGAGTGAAGCCGGTGGAAAAGAAGCGAGCCAAAGGTGTGCGAATCCGATTCGCGCGCAGGTCGGGTGTTTTCGTGCACTGGGGCGTCTACTCGGTGCCCGCCTTCTACTCGGAGTGGTTCTGGTGGCACTGGCAATCGAACCGCACCGACGCGGTCGTGGACTTCGTGGCCCAGAACTACCGGTCGGACTTCACGTACGCGGAGTTTGCACCCCGATTCAGGGCGGAGTTCTTCGACCCGCGCCACTGGGCGCGCCTGTTCAAGAGGGCCGGCGCGCGATACGTGGTGCTGACCAGCAAGCACCACGAGGGTTACACGCTGTGGCCCTCCAACGTAAGTCATTCATTCATTCATTCATTCATTCATTCATTCATTCATTCATTCATTCATTCATTCCTCTTCCTGTCAATTTCGCTGCTTTCCTTTTACCTCTTCGTTCCGTCTTTCATTCATACATGTATTCAGCCCTCTTTCTTTTCTTATCTTCTCCCGTTTCTCGCTCTTTTTCCTTCGTCCAGATTCTTTTTCTACAGAAAAAGTAGATTTGGGAAGCGAAATAAAAAATTATCAAAACAGCCTGAATGAATTTCGGAGCTGGATAGTCTTCTTTGCTTCTCTTCGCGCTTTTAACGCGATAGACTTATAGAGCTCGTTTCGCCGAAATTCCGACATCGTTGGAATGTGAGCGAGATATCATCATCTTGTTCGTGACCAAGAAATCGAGAAAGATGTAAGTAAAGTTAATGGCAAAAATTTCCGGGTCCAAGTGAGGATCATACCCAGCTGCGTGGAAAGTAGGTGTTCTAACCCAGAACCACAATATTTGTAGAGACTGCTTTGGAAAAAACAAAAAGCATTATAGGAATCTTATGTAGTGGAAGCTTCAGTCTCCTCGGCGCATCATATATTGCGTGGAAGCAGCGTACAATCGCAACGACGGCTCGCAACGACGGCCTGGTCGTCGTTGCACTTGATAAGCGACTGGTAGCTCCGCACTTGATAAGCGACTGGTAGCGGGATAAATATTTCTATTGAACGCATAAATTTTACAGGCCATTAGTGAAACATAATATAGGCTCTTTAAAAAATTACTTCGGGCCCATTAAAGCTAATGCCAATCGAACATATGAAGGTCGGGGCAAAACAGCTTTCCTTCTTTGCCAAATGGCCATAGTAATATATTCCGAACTCACCGTGTACTCCTACTTTGTTGCTCTTTGAAACGGCAGTTGAATTTTTACGCAATTGATATACATTTAATATTAGAACGTGACCGAGCAGCCTGCTTATTATTTTTTCAATGGATAGGCCTTATTTATCGTAGACCTCTCGGTAGCGACCTCACATATTTCAACGAACCAAATTAATGTCTGTGGGTTTCTTGACAAAACAATGATTGTATTCTCTAGGTCATCGTCGTTATCCAGCTGTACACTGCCACAGTGCTGTCACAGTTCTATCGTAGTGTTGTCTCCAATTGTTGCATATTTGACCTCAAAGTTGTGTTTTATGTTGAAGGACACTTCATGGCCCATTTAAGGCCACTTTAATTTCACCCACCACGTTATATTGTAGAAAATGAAGCAGCCCATCACGGAGCTTCAAAATAGCACAGTCAGTTCTTGAGCCACGTGCGTATATTACACAGGCGGTTTTAATGCCAATCTCGGTACATCTGAGGTATTCTTGTTCATTTCTATGTTCGTTGCTTCAGTGCTTGTGTGGGTGTGTGTTTTTTTCTATGCAACGCTTATCAATTAGCCACTGTTAGCGCGAATGGTTCTGGCACGAAGGTTATGATGACAGCCATTTACAGCTTCAGAACGACTGGCCAAACATTGTACCTTGCCTAACAAATCGCTAACATATACGTCTTTTACTTTTTTTTTCCTTATTCGTTGGAATTGGGGAGAGAGAGAGAGGAGATATCGACTTGCACCTGCTTTCCCCCACATCATCCACGCTTGTCATTGAAATATAAACAATCGTTTTGATGGATTTAATCACCTGACGACACCTCAGCTACAGTCTTCATTTCTTCGGTCCCGAGATCAGAGACACCATAAAACGTGGCAAATTCGCGAAAACGCAGGCCGGGCCAAAATCGAACACTTCCACAGTATGCGAAATTGTTCCACCATGAAAATAAGCCGAAAAACGCGACAAGCGACGGGAAAATTCTGCAAGCGGCTTGGCGAAAAAGAAACCGAAACTGTCATACTATAGGCGGAATAGGAAATTGTGGAAGAGGGGCATCGTGCAGTGAATTAGAGTGGCGGGCCGAGCACCCACAGCAGGGCCACTCTATTTATATATGTTCACCTAAAAATTGTGTAAAGGGAAGCTCATTTTGTTGTCATGATTTCGGAAGGATTTATTCTATACATATTGTATTATACAGTATTTCTTGTAACAATTGTATTGTTCTGTGGCATTAGTACAAGTGTTATGCTGCATGAAAATAATATATATATATATATATATATATATATATATATATATATATATATATATATATATATATATATATATATATATATATATATATATATATATATATAAACTCGTGGAAGAAATAAAGTTTGATTTGAATTGATCTACCATTGAAATGCGGCACACTTCCGGAGAGCAAAGTAGAGGGTGACGAATGGGAAGAAATATACCATATGTGATCAAAACACTCGAAGCCCTCGCATTGTCTGTGGCAGCAGCGAAATACGCGTGAATTATGTCAGTCGCCATTATCCTAAATCACAATTACGTAGTTTTACAGCCAAACATAAAGCACAAACTTGGCCAACTTTCGCTACCAGTTACATCGTTCGTTTGCGCCACGACGGATCCAGCTATCGTAGTTTACGTACACTTCGTAGCCTTCGTCGTCCCTACCCGTACAAACGATTTGGCCAATATCAGTGGTGTCTACCAACGCCGCCACGCTCGCCAGCAGAAGCAAAATCAAAGCTATTAACTATAGAGAGAACGTGACGTTTAAAAGTCTCATGACTCTCGTCGCACTGCGCCTATAGTTCGCTTTTGAGGTGAGCTCACTCCTCCTGGCTGCTGTCGGCGTCGAAAAAGCACTCTCGCTTGGACACTGGATGGCAATACACCTCCTCCTGTTCGACCACTGGAACACACCGGCTCTGATGCGAACACTTCCCGTGTGCTTTGAGTGCTCCTATTCTCCAAACGGAATTCGTCATTAGAAGGTTCGTTCAAAATGTACTTTAAAAAAGCAGAATTTCGGGCCATTCGTGATGCATACTTGGCGAAATTAAACGCATTAGACGGGACAACAAAAAGAGAAAGACGGGTTCAGTCCTGTCTCTTTCTCACTTTGTTGTCCCGTCTATGATGAGCTTCATTTCACGAAGTTTGCTTAAAACGCTCTCTCCTGCGTTCCCTCGTATGCGCTCGCTCGAAGGTCTCGTGGAACTGGAACGCCAGGGACGTGGGTCCTCGGCGGGACCTAGTGGGGGAACTTTCCCGTGCCGTACGTGAGGCGGGCGGGATGCGGTTCGGCCTGTACTACTCCCTCTACGAGTGGTTCAATCCACTCTACCTGCGAGACAAGGACGCCGGCTGGACGACCGACCATTACGTCAGGGCCAAGGTCACGCCCGAACTCAGGGACATCGTGGAGACGTGAGTCTGCAGTAGGCGGAGGATGTGTTCTGGCTGACCGAACTAATGATGTGCGCCCGTGCTGATTGTGTGGGGGGAAGAAAATATTTTGCCAACCCGTGCAAAATATTTTCTTCAATTTTAAAGTTTACATCGCTGAGCGTCAGCGAGCCAGCCCCAGCGCTATAGACACTATCCCGACGAGTCAACGAAGTTCCACTGAGTTTGCAAACTCCGACGTCCAGCATGCCACTTAACCGGCAGCAATCACTGTCAGGGTGGCTGGGAACAATGTACTCATTGATGTTTACGTGTGCCACGAGCAGATGGCAGATCCGCCGCTAGTAATTCACCTACCCGTGACGTCATACCGCCGTGACACGTCATGGAGAAGCCACCCCTCACAATCGAAACCGGTAGTGTCTATTCAAGGTAGCAGTATAAAAAAAAATTTATGTGGTGCATTTCCTCGCACCACAACATTCGTTCCAGAGTTTTCACGACTAGTGCTCCTATTTAGCGCAACGATTCCAAAATATTTAAAATTCTTGTCAGTACTCCCTTAATGCGCCAATACCCCGGCATGATCGTGAATCATGCCGTAGTGGAAGATGACGGATTGATTTCATCAACTGGGGTTCTTTAATGTTAACCCAAATGAAGCGGGCACGGATTTTCTTTACATTTCGAGCCCATCAAAACGCGGCTACCGTGAAACGGGAGTCGTACTCGCCTCCTCAAACTCAGCGGTGCAAACCGTAGCTCTCAGGGTCTCAAATGTCTCGTAATTCTGAGATATACTACAAATTTCAAAACTTCGTCACGATGCTCACGACTGTTTCACAGCTATTTGTTCATACGTGCGTTGACTTGTTACCGTTTCAAACGTAGACCGTGTGTAGTAATCATCATCATCACGTAAAATGCCTACGTGCCGCCGTGTGCCCGTCGTTAAAAGTGACCCGTTCAGGAAGGTACGGCAGTCGCGGAGACGCTCGCAAATAAACATGGTCAACTCCGTGATTGTGGAAACCAGGCGGGCCGTTGTTATCTGATACTGTTCATGGAAGAAGGAAATGATCGCTGCATATCAATTTATCTTCACCGCCCAAGGCTTGGGAGAGCATACGGGTATCGATTCTGACACCCTCCTGGAAGTATCTTGTCAATAGTATTCGAGCTTCCACTCAACTTTTATCGCCATAATCAGTGACATAACATGAGAGACTATAATAATAATAATAATAATAATAATAATAATAATAATAATAATAATAATTGTTATTGTCATGAATTCCACAAGGCGATTCCTGCTTCCTTTGATTGATATGTGTGGTTTTAACATCCCAAAACCATCAGATGATTCCGAGACACGCCGTAGTGGAGGGCGCCGGAAATTTCGACCACTTGGGGTTCCTTAACGTGCGCATAAATATGAGCACACAGACCTCAAGCATTCTCGCATCCATCGAAAATGCGGCCGCTGTGACCCATAAGAAGACAACGTTCTCAAGGAAAGAAAAAAAAAGGAAAGAAGAACGGTGACGAAGGGCGATTTCGTTTTCTCCGGTTTTATACGCTTCCAACGTCGTCCGCCGTTACCTTCGTACACCGTTCACAGCTGATGTATTTCGTTACGATTATGTTCTCGCTATTGTATTGATGTCTGAATCATCACCATCAATTGCACGAGATTATCGATCGTGGCGATAAATGGCAATGCAGTGACGGCGAAGAGCATGCCAGGTTTCGTTCATCTTTCTTTTTTGTTTATTTTCCTCTTTCGTTCTTGGTGGCATCGATGATACGTCACCGTTAGTGTCAACACCGCAACAACTGTATGCCCTGTGTAAGAGTAGCATGGAAAGGATCAATGGCCCAAATGTGGCATAATTTTTGTGGTGGTCTTATCACTGTTCGGTACGTGTTTCGAGCAGACATACGACGTCGTCCATATGAAACTGCCCATAACTGTCCTTATTGGCAATACCGATCTGCCTCATGCTTCGTCCCTTTTAATGCTACGGAACCGAATTTACGAAGCCTTCAGTTGGTAAAAGCAAATAATCATGGGTCATCCAGCATAATTAATGATACGACCAGCCTGACCATTAGTTGAAAAACTTTCCTTACAAAAAATTCCAGCCTAAGATGCTTTTCTGAATACAAACCACGTGTTTTCGATGTAAAAAGGGTTTATAAAATGAATTGTCTTTTATTAGTAAATTACCATTTGAAATTAGCAATAACCCCACACTTGCCTAACGGAGACACTTAGTGAGCAACAAAGGCCTCGCGGCTGTGTTCTAGTGGCTAAGGTAGTCGGCTGCTGACCTAGGGGTTGTTGAACCGAGTCTCAGCTGCGGTGGCGGCATTTTCGATGAAGGCGAAAATGCTGTAGGTCCGTGTGCTCAGATTTGGGTGCAGCTTAAAAAACCCCAAGTGCTCTATTTTTCCAGATCCCTCCACTACGGCGTCTCTCATAGCCAAATGGTGGTTTTAGGACGTTAAACACCACATACCAATCTAGTAAGCAACAAAGAAAACGCACAAAGTAACTGACGAATGGTGACACCGCCTTGAAGTAAACGCGTCCACTCTCCCTGACGTCATAGTTTCTGACAACGTCTGAGGTAGGGCACATTAAGCTATTTATCAGCAATTACGAATTACACTGTGTTCTAGAAAAGCCACACAACATGGCAAGCTTCATGAACATTCCTTATTACAACGTAGCAATACTATGAACAGCACGTCGGAGTAAGCGACCCCACGCTGTCGAACAGGCATCGCGATTGGGGAGGCAGATTTATAGAAAATTCTTAGGCTTCGATTCGTCATTTCCTCTTCTAATGATAACCAGCAATAGCCAAACACCGCCAATCAAGCTCTCAAACCGAGTATGTCACCTTGGTGGTGACCTATGATGGCCACATTTGATTGGTCACCTGTAGTTCATCTTTGATGGTGAGCCCTTCACCGGTCATCCGGGAGCAGGTACCGGCCAGACGTGATTTGGTCCGACGGTGACTGGGAGGCCCCGGACACGTACTGGAACAGCACGCACTTCCTCGCCTGGCTGTACAACGACAGTCCCGTCCGGAACAGCGTAGTTGTCAACGACCGCTGGGGCGTCAATACCAGCTGCCGACACGGAGACGTCTACGCCTGCCATGACCACTACAACCCGGGAAGACTGGTCCCCCACAAGTGGGAAAACGCCATGCCGCTGGACAAGGGTCCGTACAAGCTCATATGAGCAATTGTCGTTCACTTCGGTAAGCGCGCAAACAAGGGCCAAGGGAGGTGACGACAACGCAAGCACTTAGTTCCAACTGACCATTTATTCACGGCAATGCTTGATATGAAAACTTTCTTTATGAAGTCGAAAAAACGTTATGCTGATATCAAGGGAACATGTTCAGGAACTGTGCTTTTTTAGGTGAAAAACTAACGGATAAAATTGCGCTCACACAAGACTCATCCGCCTTTATAATCAAATCCGCCTCTATTATCTCCCTCACATCTTGGCTTCTATTCCAAGCTACCACCTCGCACAAACCATACAATGGTTTATCAGGCCATCCATTCTTTATTCCGCATTCACGACAATGCGCCAAAGGATCGCAGTAACGATACCTCTCCAACTTCGTCGTGAGTTCCGTAAGTCTTAGTTTCAGACACCTACCAGTCTGGCCGATGTAGCTGAAGCCGCATGATAATGAGACCTCATATATTACTTCTGGCGCACACGGTACAACGCGCTTAAGTGTTCGGCGATAGAAGACAAACAAACACAAAAGTCAGTGCTCCTGTACCTTTGTTACACCAGCCGTCGGATGCCGAGACGCTTACAAGTGGCGCAGCGCCACCGGTATCTTGTCATGTCGATAAAAAAAGACACAGCAACGCTACACCTGAAGCAGAGTTCTCGGACAGGGGGGGGGGGGGGTTGAAGCGTGATGAAACGCGCCATGCGCTGCTTGCTTTGTAAAACGTTGGCATTTACGTTCAAATAAAGTTACGACAAGAAAAAAATCGCGAAACACGCAAGATCCAAGCCCACCAGCAAGAGATCCAGCAGTTCGAATAAACCCTCATTGATGCTGCCTGTCAGTTTTGCAACCGACAGTAACTTTCATTCATCGCGCAATTAACGTGGTTCTAGCCTATACCGCACAATCCTATACGAACGTTCATTTATTACTGCAGAAAGTAGCAGAGAAAAGGCACTCCATTTTCCATGGATAAATGTCAACAAGTGGTACAAACCGATGTCATTTGCCTGGGCAGGAGCTTATTCTTTCTCTGGCACCTCCTGAGACTATTATCACCTGTCTCAACTCAAGAACATCAAATCGAGTTTCTCGGCAAACCTTTTTTTTTTTTCACGCAGGCGATTCGAACACCGGTGGTACATGGGGCTACCGCCGCAACATTCGTGCCTCTCAATACCTCACCATCGAGGAGCTGATTCACGAGCTGGTGTCCACGGTCAGCTGCAACGGCAACCTGCTCTTCAACATCGGGCCCGGCAGCGACGGTACCATCTCGGCCGCGTTCGAAGAGCGCCTTGCGCAGCTCGGCGCGTGGCTCGACGTGAACGGAGAAGCCGTGTACGGTTCACGACCGTGGAAACACCAGAAGGACCCGCTGGCCTCCCACGTCTGGTACACGTCGAAGCCCGGCGTCCAGGCGTCCGCTAGATCCACCGTGTACGCTTTCATACTGAAGTGGCCCAGAGGATGCAACCTCACGCTGGGTGCCTTGGAGTTGACTCAAGGAGCTAACATCACCATGCTCGGAGTTCCAAACCTGCGGCTGTCCAGCGTCGCGCAGAAGAACAGCAGCGGCGCACGGGCGTTGGTGGTCACGCTGCCACCTTTGACGCCGGACATCCTGCCGACACCGTGGGCATGGGTGCTCAAGGTAGAAGGAGTAGCGTGAACTGCTTCGTCGGATTGGCGAATGGCCTGCTCGTATATGTGCATCCATAACAGTGCATCAAATGACGGGAATAATTCTAACGGTGGCTGCACTTGGTGACCTTTTAGCAAATTGCGTGTTCTAACTTTTGCGTGGAATAAGTGGATGAATTACACGGTTCTTGATGCTGCGTAAAATAAATTATGACATGGCTACGCACATGCAGCTTCTCTTTTTTACTCGCGCGAGCCCTATAGCCTAACTTTTGAGGTTTTGCGTGCGGAAACCACGATGTGATTACGAGGCATGCCATAGTGGAGAGCTACAGAATTTTCAATAGTCAGGTGTTTAAGTCACATGGCACTGTACACGGGAATTATAGCATGTCGCCTCTATCGGAATGCGACCGCCATGGCTGGGATTGAACTACCTCATTTCGGATCAGCAGCCTCAGCTCTTCAAAAGTGGAATGCGTGTGCGACGTAATTACTTTGTCGTAATCATCACGCCCGGTATTTCTGGCAGTAGTGACTTTGCAGTGTTTAGTGTCTTGAACCGTAAATAGCGACAAAAAAAGGCAACAACAAAGTTTAGAATATGGAGAGGATGCTTGCAATTCAAAGTTTGTCTTTCTCTGTCTACTATTGATATGTGGGATTTAACTTCCCAAAACCACCATATGATTATGAGAGACGCCGTAGTGGAGGGCTCCGGAAATTTAGACCACCTGGGGTTCTTCAACGTGCACCCAAATCTGAGCACACGGGCCCACAACATTTCCGCCTCCATCGGAAATGCAGCCGCTGCAGTCGGGATTCGATCCCGTGACCTGCGGATCAGCAGCCGAGTACCTTAGCCACTAGACCACCGCGGCGGGGCTCTCTGTCTACTATCTGGCCCGTTTTTTTTTTTTATGTGAGGACGACATGTTACTACTGCTGACACCTATCTTTCTGCTTCATTCGACCATGACACTTACAGATCGTAAACGAAGTAATGGCAACACTCTGAGTACAGCAATGTGGTTTCTTCCCCGAAGAAGAGTGTAACTTGGAACTGCCGACAACGCTGGTCTACATATCTAATCAAACAGTGCTTTATACAGCGGGGATCCCGCGGACGTATGCAGTAAGCTACAGTCGCTGAGACAAAGTGACGAAAGTCGCGGTCATTTGCCCTCGTTTTTCACGCGACAAAATGCCGTGTGCGAACGACAGCCACAATCCTTCAAGCGTGGCTTTAAGCAAAGACGTTAGCTGCAATAAAAAAACCTTTTCCTCCTCAAGTGGCGTCTGGAAATCAAGGGCGTATACTGCTACATCCTACTGGATAGTGGAACAAATCAAAGAGGGTAATTTTAAAACATTTAAATTGAGGCTATATCTTGTTTGCGTGCCCTTTACCATGGAAGGGGGGGATACATTGGCAGAATACGAAAGTTTGCCGAAGAGCTTCCTTGACGTCATCACTGCACGCCACTTACCATTTTGTAAGCGCGTAGCATTTTACGAAGTCTGGACGTTGGGGAGGCTAAATAAAGAGTAGACAAAAAAAAGTGTTGTCTAAACAATATATCACCATCCTTACTGCTTGGTACGGAGGCAGTATTTATATCCCGCGACACGTATGCCGAACCTGATCGGTGCCTCTTAAAGTTGGAAAATCTTCAAGCGGCGACCTCACCACATAAAGATAGACCCGCATCGTCGTTTGACCTCGGATTCCACCTAGGTACGCTTCAGTGCAAAGCGCCCTCTCTAGATCCACGCGCGCGTGTGTGTGGGTGTGCGTGTGCGTGTGTGTGTGCGTGTGTGTTTCTTATCACTTCCCCATCTGTAAACTATTCGAGTACGGGAGACTGTGATCGAGAGTTCACGGCACCAGAGTACGCACAAATACACTTGCTTACCGAACCTAAATTCTTTTTCCGGAAAGAAGCTGGAGAGGGTCCACGCTGTTTTTCCGAAACGTCCACGCTCAAAGTAACCCGCAGAAAGCAATCGTGAAGAAAGGGGACGCGTCAACTATCGCGCGACTGGTATATCCGCTCCTGCAGTTTCTTTATTTTTTAAACCACGATCTCTTTTGACGTCAATGATGACGTCAATTACATAACCCAGCAGGAGATCGCGGTCACGCATTCCTTTATTTTTTTTTAAGTAGCTTCATGTTGATCGGCTCTAGCGTTCTGTTTTGGTCACTTCGGAGATGTTCGAATTCGCAGACGAAAGGAGGTTTGAGAGCAACGGAAGGGGGCTGACGGCGGATCATCTTCACATTACAGTTTCCTGACATTACTTTGTAATTGCAGTGCAAGACAATCATAAGTCTGTACAAAGGCTCAGCAGCTTTACTGCGCTTGCGACAAATCTTGGGACAATTTCGCACAGGCTTTACGATTGCTTCACACCACCACTTTTCCAAACAAATGTCGTTTGAAACCATCGAACTCGTCGTGAATAACTATTATCCTTATCAAAAGTTATAAGGTTTCCAGGACACGCACTACCGTAATGGTTCGCAGTGCCAGTTTTGCCACATCGCATTCCGACATGTCTGGTGGCTACCATCAACGTTTATAGAACAGGTTATGTATAACAGTCAAGCGAACAAGAAATCAATCCAAATGGATGTTAAGTTGCAAGAAAAAAAAAGGACACCCAGAATACTCCCAAATGTCTCACAAGTATACGTTGTTCTGGCAAGTTTCGTACGCGCAGCCCTCCTTTGTGCCCTATGCACCATATTTACGAGCACAAAAAAACACCATTTCGTTTTCCCTATTTTGGGAATTGGCTTTAGACATTCCCGAGTGAACTGTTTCACTCATTGTGCCCGCAAAAAAAAAACTAAAAGGAAGCGAGAGAAATCGAAGGAGAGGCGGAAATATTTACCAAATCTGTCTCTAATGTTGCGTCTCTAAATGAAGTACCACAGAGAAGTGCCATTTATTTGGTCATCGTCACACACTGCGTGCAGCCGGAGTGTCTGCAGACACCTAGGCATTATCACAAACATAGCCTTACAGTATCTCGCGGTGTGCAGTATCAAAAAGCCAAGATATGTGTGGTACGGTCTGGCCAAGCCGGCTCAAGTAACGGAGGAGCACATCGAGAGCTGCTAGTGTCAATATTAGTTGCTTCCAGCGTGTCCTAACAATTTAATATCTTGACTGTGAACGATTATCTACTTTATCTGTGAAAAATTTACGGCGATGGTTTTTGACCATTAAGCGCAGGGATAAACTTGAAGACTAAGCGGTGAGAGTGCGGTGCGGGATCGACATGAATGAAGCAAAAACATCACCTGCGGTGTCAGCAGTCTGAGTATAGCTGCAGACTAGGAGGGCTTATAGGTTCGATTCCCGATTGCGGAGGCTGCATTGTGCAGAGGCCGGAATGGAAGCACGGGATGGAACACACAGTTCGGCAAGACGTCTCCGTTAGCTATATGGCATCACTAAGAGTGCCCCACCGGGACGCCGTTGGGGGTCTTTATAGGCTAGATACGGGCCTCAAGTAGAATGCGTAGAGCGTTCTGAGATCGTGATCGTCTGTCAACGCTGTGCGCTTGTCACTTTTACATTTGCCTTTTTTTTTACCGTGACAACAAGTTTAAGAACTCCAAATTGTTCTCGTTGTGTCGGTTCATCTTCCTGGCGGACTGACCCACCTAGATGGTGAAGATGACACGTAGATGCGTGTGTGTCGGTTCATCTTCCTGGTGGACTGACCCACCTAGATGGTGAAGATGACACGTAGATGCGTATATATTTCAGGGGTTGACACGTCGTATCATAACCATATACTATTATTATGGGCTCACCACTTTCACAGTCCAATAATTATCGCTTATAATTTTAGGAAGCATGGTCAATAAAGAAAACACTGCATTTCTTTCTTCATTTTTAAATGTTATCGACGAATATTCAAACCTTTTTCCAGCTCTTCTTTTTCATAACTAACATACGGTATGCATAAAATCAATGGATATTTCTCTTTCGTAGAGAATATATAAATTACTAACTGCGTAGAGTCGTCTCGCAAACAACTACACTCAATCTTAAATTGGCGAAACCAAACTATAACAAAGCAAGTGCGCTTGACACCCGCGATTTCTCTAAGCTCCGCGAACAGAGACAAATCACACGCCTCGTGCAATCGGCACTGTCTAAGATGTCTCCGGTCGTCACGTGCACGACCGTAAGGGAAATACAAGGACGGCGCCCCCGAGAGTCGGTCATCTCATCAAAGAGTCACCGGTACACACCGGATGGCCCCACACGTGCTTCCTAACGAATGACACTCGAAACGTTCACGGTCGGCTCTTCTTTCGAACGCGCAAGCTTCAAGCGTCTCTCCGGAGAAGCGTACGTACAGGCGAAAGTTGCATACGATAGTCTTAACGCTTCGCCGCCTCCTCCAATCAACAGAGCAACGACAGCACATTGAAAGCTATAAGAGTTCATTTAACGTCCACAAGTTAAGCGGTTTTTACCGCCTTTGGAGATGGGCTATTCCCACGTGTACATGCATGTGGCTCTAATGATACGTGGCTTAACTGTTGTATGATCGCAGCTGGTCAATAACAGATTGCCACGCGTCTCTCACTGCTTGCGGTTTTTTGCAGTCATAACACCATAGTAGTTAGTTCAGCAATCGTGCCTCACCATCTCCAGCCTTGGAAATTACCCATCGCAGTCGATACCTCTATGTGCGTGCAAATGTGCGCGAAGGCGCGGTAAATTACTGGCTGCTAACGAAGGTCAAGAAGACGCTATAAAAGCTTTCGTCAACGTGTTTATTCGAGTAATACTAATCCTACATCAGCGTGCTCCAAAGTTATCTTTTTTTTTCTTTTTACTGGCAAGGTATGACCGTGGTGTCAACAGCGACATTATTCGACGTATTTCTTATTGGCTCGTTGTTTGTGAAAGCTGTTAGCAAGCTCGAAGCCGGGGGAGAGAGTGGGGACACTTTCCTAAGGATACGGGCCTCCCCAAAAGTTTCATGGAGAAAGTTGTCCTACCAAAAATAGGCAATCAAAATAAATGTTTTTTTAATAGTCGAATTACAACACAGTCACCTTCCCTCCGCATGCTTCGCATAACGTCGATTGCTAAGGTGCGTGGTATCTCCCGAATTTATATAAAAAGTTTATCCTACCTACACTATAAAAACTCAGAGGTACCTTATACATTCGCCTAAGACGATTCAAAA